TTTACAGGGATTGTGTTAAATCTGTGTAACACTTTTGGAAATATGTCTATTTCGACTGTATTTGTTCTGTCTATCCAAGAACAGAGCTATTTTCTCATTTCCTGATATCCTCTTCAGTCTCCTTTTTGAGAGTACCATAGTTTTTGTTGTAGAGTTCTTTTAGTTCCTTGGTTATGTTAATTTCTATTTCATTTTTCTTAATGCTATTATGAGAGGCATTTGCCTCACTGGCTATCCACATAGCAAAGATTGAACTTTGACTCAAACCTCACTATGCATAATAGCTAAACTAAAATCAAAATGGGCCAGAGATCTAAATATTAAAATAGAAACAATCTGCTGCAAAGAAAAATAGATAAAACTCTTAAAGACAGGGATATAAGCAAAGATTTTGCTTCTCTGCCCAAGGAATCAACAAATGGGATCACATCAAATTAAAAAGCTTCTGCACAGCAAAGGAAACCACCAACAGAGGGAAGAGACAGCCTACAGAATGGGAAAAAAATTTTTTGCAGGCTACTCCTCAAACAAAGGACTAGTATCTAGAATATATAAAATCTCAGAAAAAAATTAGATCCCCCAAATTTAAAGAACGGACATCTGAAATTAATATATACTTCTGAGAAAAAGTACAAATGGCCAATAAATGCATGGAAGAAGATGTTCAGTATCCCTGAACATTTGAGAAGTGCAAATTAAAATAACACTGAGATTCCATCTCATTTCAGAAAAAATGACTATCTTCAAGAAATCAAATAATAAATATGGGAGCAACTGCAAAGAAAAAGAAATACTTCATTGTTGGTGCGAGTATAAACTTGTACAGCCACTGTGGAAAGGCAGTGTGAAGATTCTTCAGAAAATTAAAAATAGAAATTCCACTTGACCGATTCTTGATATCTTCCCCAAAGAGTTATAGACATGATATTATAGTGATACATGCATACCCATGTTTATAGCAGCACAATTCATAATAGCTAAATCTTGGAAGCAGCCTATATGTTAAACATTAATGAATGGATAGAGAAAATACGGTATCTATATTCAGTGCAGTACCACTCTGCCATAAAGAAAAATAAACAAGTCATTTGTAGGAAAATGGATAGACCTGGAGATACAGTGTTAAATGAAGTAAATCAGACACACAAGCTTAAATGTAGCATGGTTTCTCTTGTAAAAGAAGCTCAAAAAGCCAGGCATGGTGGTGCGCTCCGATAATCGTAGCATGTGAGAGGCTGAGGCAGGAGAATTGTTTGCAAGTTCAAAACTAGCCTGGGCTATAAAGTGAACCCAAGGCCAGCCTGAATTGCATAGTGAAACCCTGTCTCAAAAAGACAAAAAAAAGAGAAACCCTGTATATAAATAAAGTGTAAAATAAAAGGTTGATCTTTAGAAATAGGTTGATCTTTGGTACATTAGAAGGGAACTGAGACGGAGGGGAGAAATGAGATGTAAGTGGAAGGGTAAAATGCTATGTGCATATACCAAGTACCTGTGACAGGGGTGGATCCAATGGCACAGGTACCACAGCAGGCTGTTTGTACTGTTGAAAGCTCTAAAAGGTTCACCATCACTGCACTATGAGGAATATGATTATCACGTACTACAAACATGAATAAAAATTATATACTACAAACAGAATTCACTATAGGAAATGTGCAATAGAAGAAATGACCTTCAAGAACCATTTTCTTTCCAAATCAGACACACAATATACACACTTTAGGAAAAGCAAAACCTGTATAAATATTTTAATACTAAATTTATTGAGACATCATGAAATTAATGCAAGTTACCTTTGACCTCTACAATTACAAGAAGTGTTCAAAGTAGTAGCCTTTAGCTTCCAGACATTTATTAGTACAGCAAATTGCTACTTGGGTAACCATGGCTACTGAGATTGCTGCACGTGCATTTTTAATGTCTTTTCTAAGGGTTAGCGTGTAGTGGGTTTTCCACAGTATATGACATCCTCTAAGATGATGAACTACAAGAGTAACACTGTCCGTTGAAAAATGTCATACTGGTTTTCCTGAAGCATGTATATATTTTGGGAGCCCAAGAGATGTAGGGAAGAGGATTAAAGAACAATAATTAAGAAATGTCAAGGGCTGCAGAGATCCGGCCATGGAGGGACTCAGGCAGCTTATTCACCCGCCCTCTTGGTAAGCGTCTGCAACGCGGGCCAGGAGGAGAACAGAGCTCCAGAGATCCAGCCATGGAGGGACTCAGGCAGCTTATTCATCTGCCCTCTTGGTAAGCGTCCATAACGTGGGCCAAGAGGAGAACAGAGCTCCAGAGATCTGGCCATGGAAGGACTCAGGCAGCTTATTCACCCGCCCTCTTGGTTAGCACCTGCAGCTTGGGCCTGGAGAAGAACCATTACCTGTGAGCTTAGTGCCACGTGAGCTGAAAATCAAGCACCCTTCTCCCACCTGCCCCCTTCCCCCTTAGCTATTGGGGATAGATGTTTCAACATCTCTTGGGAGGATGACCATATGCAGTATAGCAAATATGGGGTATTTCCTTCTATCTTCTGTTTAAAGGCATAAGTTGTTTTCACTGTTTTGTTATGTTTCTTTTGCTTTATTCAGTATTTTCAAGTGGTTTTACAATGTTCTATTTTTTGTTTGATTTTACAATATGTAATTGACTGGACAGCTATTGTTAAGTTAAAGAGATTATACCATAGTACTTACTACTACTATCCCAGTATCCTATTGTGAAATCCTGTACCAATTTCACTGCATTGTCTCGATTGGCTTTGTTCTGTCTTGTGCTGTTGCATTTTTACTACTTTCAAAATTTAAAAAATATATATACATGTTGGGACTCATGCATGTGTAGAATCTGTGAACAGTTTATGAGAACTGATGTTATGACAATTGATGAGATGAGCGGATACTTTGAAGAAAAGGAGACACTGAAATGCCCAGTGCTGATCCTGGAGTGTCATGATGTGAAATCCAGCAATACTATTATTCTTTGTTCAGAATGATTTTAACCTGCTTTAGTTTGTTTAATCTAAACATAAATGAAGATATGGATAACTGCGTGTATGTTTAAACGTGTAGGATTGACAACCATGTTACTAAGTTCTTGTTGGACAGTTGATTAGAACTTTTTGCAGTCTCTCTGTTTGAATTCCCACTTTACATGTTCCATTTTTGTACCTTGAACAACTGTTTGTAAAACGACAACATCAACTGGTGATTTCTTACTGTGTTTTTTCTCTGAACGTACTATTTCTACCTATTTTCTGCTTTGTTTGATCTTTCTTTAAATAAAAAAAAGAAATGTCATGTACATGTACCAACTCTCTGTGATGAATGTAGTCATTATATACTACAGACATATACCAGTAAAAAAATTTTTTTAAGTAGGCCAAATGATAGCTTATGCTTCCTGAGTTTATTAGTGCTGCTTTCCATTTTTTACTTTCTTTAAAGTTTGTTTTTGTTTTTTGAGTATAATTGACAAAATCATATATATTTAAGGTATACATCACATTCTTAGATACATGTATGTGTTAAAATGTTTCTGCAACCAAGCTGTTAACATCCATCACTTCACATTTACAGCAGTTCTTAATGTCCTGCACTTAGAAACATACTAAAACAAGTCAAATAGCACCCTTAAACATAAAAAATGGACCAACCATCTCACTCCCAGAGATGAGTATAACAGTCACATGACCACCATTATAGATTAACATTAGAGTTTATTATCCTTAGGATGCTTGGTATATATCCCAAAAATAGCTACTGTGCCATCTCAACCAACAGTACCCTACCCACACCTCAAAACCACTTCTTTCCTGTCTTTTCTTACCCATCTGTGTACTCCTGACCTCTAAATCGTCAGAATCTCCATTCCTTAGTAGGAAAACAAACTCAAAGTTTTCCCTGTCACCACCAGCTGTCATCCCTGCTAAGCTTCTCTAGATGCTAAAAGCCCTTCAGGAATGATGTTTTTCCTACTACCTATCTCGACTTTTTTCTTACTGTCTGTCAAAACTAAAAGAGATTCCCTGTGGTAACTTCCTACTTTTCTCCCTGGGAAATTAACTAGAAAAAGCCTTAGCCAAAAAGTTCTGAAATTAATTGCCACCACATATTCAGCTTTCAGGAAGTGGGAAAGACAATTCTGAGATACACAAGAATAGTTTGGTTTAAATCTTTTTATTGCTCTCTCTCATTTATTTATAATAATAGTTTAGCACTTATTCTTCATTACTAGAGTCAGAATAGAAGCTGTGCAATTAGAAGTGGCATATCAAATTAACTACAACTTCCACTTTTTACCTGTCCTTTACCTGATTAGTTGTTGCTCATGTACTATGTGCTCAGCTCCTTTCAGTTAAATAAGTAGAATTGCTAAACAGTCCTCATCTGTGCCAAATAATTAATACAGCCAAAATATCTTGGTTTTAAAAGAAAAATATTTATCTGAAGTATTGAAGTCTCAGAAACCTATACGGATTTTTGGCCTTCTAGAATTTTGCATGCTTTGAAATCATTCATTTTTATGATATTTAATCTAGTTAGGAATTCTAATATCATTATCCTGGAATGTGTGTGTCTTTCAAAAGCCCTTAAAAAGCTACTAATTCTTACTATAAATCACAAATTCCTTAGATTTGGGGCAAGCTTGGAAATAAACATAAATGGTATAGTGTCAATTTTTCTGCCACTAGTTAGATACCCAAACTGCCACATTTTAAGGGATTCATTCCCTTTGGTTTATTACCTGCACATCTGATTATCCTCACTCTGTGGTAGCTGCTGCAATGTACTAGTTACCATACTCCTGTCTTCCAAGAGAGATCCCTTGTTCAGAAGTTGCTGTAAGGCTGTAAAACTCAAAGAAATGATCACTTTTTTCTCTGTATGTGATAAACTTATGGAATTTTCTGTATATCCGATAATACTTGTTAGTTTGCATACTTTCATACTTTGATGACTGCTTAGACTTCTAAAATGTATTATTTGTTTTTATAGGACAATGAAGGTCAAACAGCTCTTCACTATGGTAAGATGTTTCAAAATTATTAAATGATCATATTTGAATTTTTTTTCTATTTGTTTGAACTTTGGTGAGCCCCATATAGTGCTTATAAAAGTACCTATTAGCTAGCAGAGTTATAACTTTTGGTTATTAATCTAACAAATAAATTAACATGTAAAGTTTGAGATGTATTAAAATTCTTATGGGCACATGAAAGATAAATCAAACATTTCTATACTTGTCATCAGGAAAGTGACAGCTCCTCCAGCCTCTTGTTAAAACTTCAGTATTTCACTGTTGGTTTTGTGAGTGGCATCTAAGATGCTAATCACTGTTACTGAAGATCTAGCTTTTTTTTTTTTTTTTTTTTTTTTGTGTGTGTGTGTGTGCTGGGGATTGAACTCGTGACCTCACACTTGCCAGGCAAGCGCTTACAGCGCTGAGCTAAATCCCCATCCCTTAGCATTTCTCAATAAGAAACACTTTCTTGATATTCAGGAGGGCCCCTAAGTGCAATTTTTCTTTCTGCTGTTTCAGTTTACTGTAACCCCAAAATATTAACTATTCTGACATTTCCATAAGTAAATAATGAATAAATTTTACATTGTGTGCAGCTCTGAGTAGTATGATAAAATCTCATGCCATACTGCTACATCAGCGCAAAACATGAATCACCTCTTTGTCCCATCTACTTATGCTATGTACAGTGCATTTCCCATGTGTTAGTCACTGATTAGCCATCTCATTTATCAGCAGCTGATTGCTGTGCTTGTTGTGTTCAAGTGACCCTTTGGTAGTATCCAAACACTGTGTCACAATGCCTGCATCATTCATCTTACTTCATCTCATCATATAAGCATTATATTGTCTTACATTATGAGAAGATTTCAAGAATTCACTGAGGTTTGTGGAATGTGTTCCCCAGAAGATAAGGGGAGACAACTATAATTGAAGTAAAAGTAAATAAATTTGACCCTAAACTCATTTCTGCTATTAATTGATCAGTATTTTTAAGTAATGTTTATATAATTGTGTGGCTCTTACAGAACTATTAGAAATTATCAGTAAAATAAAAGGTATTTATCTATTTCTTAAACTATAAAGTATGTAAATACATCCACAGATTCTGTGAATATGGTTGAATTACAGCGTGTTGTTGGTATTTAAGCCAGATTAAGGATGAACCACCTTCAGACATTTTGGGAAGGAATACATTAGGCCATTTTGCTCAGCAATCCTAGACTGCTATTTAGTAACAAGTGGCTCAGATGCTCTTGGATATCTTTGTCCACTCCTTAGCATTATTTGGCTATCAGTGGGTTACCCACTTCAGTGGATTATCTAGGAGTTTGAACTGTTGGACTAGCTATCATATTATCCATATAAGTCAACCTGATAATAAAGATTGAAATGTCAATAAATATCTACCCCAACTTATTTATGAATTTATCTAATGTAACCTGAAGACTTCAACCAGCAGGAAAAAAAAGAAAATTGTGAGTCAATCTCACTTTGGATACAGATGCAAAAATTCCATGGAAAACATTAACAAATTAAATCCATCAGTATATTTTAAAAAGAAAGGTATGTCATAATGAAATCAAGGAATTCAAGAACGATATAATATTTTTAATTTTATTAATGTAGTTTTCCACATTTGCAAGTTAGGGGAAACACCATACAGTGAAATCAAATGCAGGCTATTTTCCAGGAAATTCATTACACACTCTACAAAGCAATATAGAAAAGTAGTTAAGGCCATGTGCTTTTTTAAGCAATCCTGGAAGTAGACTATTTGTTTTGTTTTGTTATTGTTGTTGTTTTTCTTTTCTGCTTTCCTTGTTTATTTTATTCAATTTGGTTTTTATTTCTTTTGTGGTTTTTTTGTTTGGTTTTTTTTTTTTTTTTTTGAGCATGCGTGTGGTTCCTAACCTCCTTGTGGTTGTGGCTTTGTTCTGTTCTACCTTTATCTCTTTCAGCTCGCTTTTCCTTCAGTCTTCTGCATTAGCTTCCCCAAATTGGTGGGATCTATTCCTCAACTACTTGTAATCTCTCTTTTCTCACTTTACTGTTTTCTCTTTAATCCATTTTGAATCTTAACTCCTGAGTGCAGAATTGATACATTGTGGTCTTATATATTGTATATAACTATTTTGCATTTCACTGAAAAGATATGAGAAGACAAAACAAGACACAACCTCAGACACCCAGTTCACCAAAGGGAAACCCATTGGGCAGTGAGGTTGGAAAATCCGAAAGCTCCCTACCAGACTCTCCAAAGTGGTAACAAATCAATTAAATGAGGCTCTGTCTCGAATAACTACAATGATTACCAAAATACATACCATGCTTAGTGATGTTAGAGCAGACATAGACCAAAAAAAAATAGATGAGCTTAAACAAATTATGGAAACACAACGTAAGAAACAAATGGACTCCATAAAGCAGATTCAGGCAGATAGATATCCAGGAAAATAAAAACTCCATTGAAAGTATTGAAAGCAGAATAAGCCAATGTGTGGACAGAATCTCAGATATTGACAACAAGATTACAGTTAGTGACCAGGAAAAGAAATATTTCTCAAAACTTGCAAGGAAAAATGAAAATTCAATACAACAGCTACTAGATGAGACAAAGATAATTTAAGATTAATTGAAGTCACTAAACAAGTAAGAGATACCACAAATGATATTAAAAACATGTTCACAAACATCGTGACAGGAAACTTTCCTGGTAGAGAAAAAGAATTTGACATACAAGTAAGTGAGGCATATAGAACTCCAGTTAGCAGTGATCAAAAAAAATCTACATCCAGGCATATCATAGTCAAGATTCCAGAAATTCAACACAAGAATAGAATTTTAGAAACCAAGGAGGGAGCAAAGATGGCAGATAGATAATAGCTGGCAACAGAGGCTCCCTGAGATAGTCAGTCAACTTAGAATTCAACATAATACAGCATGGGGAGCCCCGAACAGAGGGAGATGAATTCTCTCATCCAAAGAAGAAACTAAGGTAAGAAGAACCAATCAAACATACAGTCCCAGTGCTATTATTGGAACAGCTAACGGTTCAGTGCACCCGCCGCAGCAGGCAACTTGCCGAGCCATCCCAAAGCCCCGCCGCTTCTACTTACTGAAGGCACAGTCACACTGAGGTCAGGGATCAGCCAAGAACAGATAGCTGAGCTGGTGGGGAGCCTGTATCAACCTGTGGTGAGTGATGGGAGTGGAGCCATTCCATGGAAAGGGGGGCTCCGGCGGATGACATTCTGGGACCTGGCAGGACTGGCAAGTACAAAGGGCAGCAGTGACTTCAGTCAGTTGTTCCCTTCCTGAATGGGATTGGTGGAGTGAGGTAAGCTTGGGTCACACGACGTGGCTGAGACTCAGTAGATTATCCAAAAGCAATTCCCTAAGGCAGCGGTACACACTATCCCAGTGAAGCCTCAGAAGTTTGACCTGGAAGGGAGGCAGTGCACAGTAATACAGTGCAGGCCACAACAGCTTGACTGATCTGGAGGGAGGGTCTAGCATACGCTGCCCCTGTTTGCAACTCACTAGCACACTGAAGTAGGAAGGGTCACCTAGCCAGCATGCTTCAAAAGAATTGTAACCAACAAAGAAGGAAACTGGGGCCTCCTGGAAGAAACAAAAAAGATGGGAAGAGGAAGCAACAAAAAGTCCCAAGGTTCCAAGCCTGAGAACACTGAACCAGGACAGCTAAATACAAAGGAGAATGAGAACAGCAAACATGCAATATTAGACATGGCATCAGTGGACATAAAGAGATATATTCGGGACCTCATAGACGAGTTCAAAAGTGAAATATTTAGCCAAGTAAAGCAAAATATAAGAAGATTAATAAAAGAGATACTAAGCACCCCTCAAGCAGACACAGATGGAAGAAGGGAGGAACTCAAAAGAGAGAACCATTTGGTGAAGAATATAAAAAAATTTGCATGAAACAGATTCAAAGAGACCACCAGGAAATTTAGAACTATGGAAAGATGGCATATCAGCTTGAAAGAAACTAAGGATAGATTATCCAAACTGGCGGACAATTTTGCAATGTGGGAGCATAAAAGGGAAAACTTTTTAAAAATAACAAGGAAACAAGCAGTAACAATACAAAGGCTGGAAGATGACAAAAGGATCTATAACTTGAGAATAAAGAATGTGAATGAAGAAGCAGAGGTACAAACAAAGGAACTACAAAGGCTATTCACAGAAATAATTAAGGAAAACTTCCCAAGCATAGGAAAAGGAAATGATACTCTGATATATGAGGCATACAGAACTCCAGCCACCTACAACCAAAACAGAGCTACACCCAGGCATATAATAATCAAGATCCCAGAAATTCAATATAAGAACAGAATATCAAAAGCTGTTAGAGACAAGAAACAGACAACCTATAAAGGAAGGCCCATTAGAATAACAGCACAAGTCAAGAAGAGCCTGGATCGAAATATTCCAAGCCCTGAAAAAAAATAACCTCCATCCCAGGTTGATATACTCTGCTAAACCGTCTGTAGAAATTAATGGAGAAACAAGATGCTTCCAAGACAAAGAGGAACTTAGGAAATTCGCAACCACCAATCGAATTCTACAGAGAATACTTAGGGTATTCTAGAGAGAGAGAAAAGTACTAGAATTCCCAGAACAGTGGCAGAGAGGCCTCAATGAATGGAGCAGAAAACAGAATGAAGAAGATAAGCGGACAACTGATGGCAAAAAAAGAGCCACACATGGAGTAGATCAGGCGGCAGGGTCCACCGAGATGCTATATAGGAAATGTAATTCACCTGAAAAAGAGTACATGGACTGAAAATCAAATATGAGAAAACAGTGCTCTGTGTGACAGAGAGCAAGAGGGGCTCTAGACCAGTATTTGTGGATAGGTTGAAAAGACAGGCTTTAATAGGTAAAGGAATACAATTAGAGATCAAGTCCAGGAGAGAGAAGGTTTGGAACCACTTAGCAGGTTGCCCCCCCTCAATTTAAAACTGAGGGTCTTTGTC